TGGCCAGCCATCTCCGATACCGATTGTTCTGGGGCCCGAAAATTGTTCTCTTCCTACACCTCATTGGCAAAGTTTGCCGTGCACTTCTTCAGTGGCATCAGAGAACGCAGGAAAAACAGAGTCAGATGAGCCACCCTGCCGCTCACCGGGAGCGGCCGGGATCCTAACTTTCTTATTCTCGCTCCGGTCTCTACAAGAAGAAGATCTTGGAGAATTCGGAGCCTCACGGAGTAAATATTACCTCGGGTGCTCAAGTGTAGACAGAATAAATGGAGAGTACCTGCTAAGGTAAACATAAGCGAAAAATTTTATTTTTACCTTCATCGAAGCGCAAACGTACAATATTGTACCACGCTCTATACGTGAGTAGGTAAATTCTGAAGTCTGACTAGCGTTAAGGACGAAATTTTAATATCTTACTCATTTGGTGCTTTGAAAAAACGACAAAAATGAAACCTTATGGTTTATTGATTAATTTCTGATCACAAATGAGGCATTGTTTTAATTGGAGTACCTGACATAAATGGAACAAATCCATTCAGTGAACCGTCGGGCTTATCGGGCTTATCTTTCGAACAAAATCTCATATTTAATCGTGCTGTGGGAAACTCTCAAGTAATATATAAAAATTTTACAAGCGTTTCAAAATTTTGCCTTTTCTCATTGTTTGGATCGTGGGTATGCAAAATTGGAATTTTTTTTTTTTTCATTCGGTCAGTTTATTCCTTGGCATGAGATATGCGCTGCGCATCTAATGCGTCACTTGATGTAATTGGTCTGAGCATTAGTCTGGATAATAGGAAACAAATAATAAGGAGCCATAAATGTTCGACAAAGGCGATCATATAGTGCAATAAATAGGGCAATTAAATAGTAAGCCAATCTCTAAAGAAGAGAGACGGCAATCATTGGCAGAGAACGTCAGGCTTTTTACGAGTATTTTATTGCTTGCCGCATCCTTTTAAAGACTTGAAGCAATAACCGGCAATATCAGAGGACCGATACTGCGCTCAACGCAGACATAAAACATGTTCACGTCGTAAATAATCTTGCCATGGTGTTTTAAGGACTATGTATTTGAAATGAGAGAAATCTTGTCGTCAATGAATAGAATTAAAATACTTACTCGTATTTCATATTCGACGCTCTATTTCAAGACACCGTCAATAATTTACAAGATAAAAATTAGCATATGAAAGTTATCGTTTATTAATTACAATCAACTATTGGAATGATAATTAAGTTCTCGTAAATGAACGCTAGCAGTCCTCGAAATTGAAAAACACGGACTAGTTGTTGAATAATGCACGAACGAATATTGAAACATTTGTTTCAAAATCGGGGCGGAGTCTAACCCGTTCCCACAGAGTATAAAATTCTTCTAAAATTAAAAAAATATATATATATATATATTACGATCGAAATAATATTCAAAGCGTTTCATGAAAGATCAAATGAATCATTGAACAAGACAACGAAGAAGATCAGCAATGTTTGTTCTTGCCCATAACTTAGTCTTGACTCTTCAGCCGGCAAACGAAGAAGGGACTGGAGGTTCGAAATGACATCCCGAAGCAAAGTTCTAACCAAGCAAAAAGCTGCATTCGCAACTTATGGTTTCTTTGTTGCAAGGAAAGATTTAACGTTAAAGAATTATTAGGCAGGAACTCCGCGTATAAAGTGTGATTGCAGACAAGCTCGCCCAACCCAAACAACCGGCGATAACCAAGACGGGGTTGAGTAGAATATTACCAGCATGTGCATGGTTAGTCCGCTAAACTGCACCAACTTCATTTACGAAGAGAGAGTAGGACTTAATTTTATCAATGAAAAAAATGGCTGAAATAGGCCAACAGAAATCTAGGAGAGAGCATGAATTACTAATTTTATTTTAGGGGAGCGTGAGACCGTCAATGTAAGGCATTCATTCGGAAAGTTGTAATATTTAAAATATTTCAATTTTACCCATTACAACGTTCCATGTTGCATCAGCAGACTAAGCTTCATGCATGTGTCGAGTTCTTGTAAGCAACTTGGTTCATTTTTTTCTTTTTGACAGCTCTTCAACATCGTCGATTTTTGACATGAATAAAGCCTGTAGCAGAAACATAGTTCCATTTATGGCCTTGTATGTTATACTAGGCTGTAGCAGAAGCATGGTACCATATATAGCCTTGTATGTTATACCAGCCTGTAGCAGAAACGTGGTATAATAATATTAGAGGTTTATGTATCATACGGGCCTCCATAATAAGCACGGTACCGTTTATGATTCTCAGTATATGGAAAGGAATAAAATGCAGGTGGTTATGAATTGATCTGTGGACAAAGGCGGAGGTCATTCAAACCTTGCAAGAAATTAGATGAAGAGTGACCAAGTCTTCAAATTCTTACATCACAATCATTTGATTGGACTGAAAGCACGAGATAAACTGTGACGAGATAAATGGCTCTGCCATCCCTTAGGCTCTGTGTAAGACAAGAAATCAGGCCCCAGGAGTTGCTGTTGTGCAAATAAAAATGATTTAAACTCAATAATGAATGTGATATGCTCAACCGGAGGTTAAAATTTTGTTATTTTAAGTGTGGCGGCCATGAGCCCCATATTTTGTTGAAAAAATTGGAAGTAAGGATCTGTTGAAAAAGAGGTTTAGTCTACGGAAATGACTCTTAAGATTCAATTTACTTTTTCCTGTGCCCATATGTTCTCATTTTCTTAAGTTTCATTTATATTTTCATCGTTGTCTTTCAGGACAGAATCAAAATAAATCCTTCTACATTTCAATTATTTTATTTAATGGTACTATAAAACTTGGCTCAGTTACGGTTAAACTATTTTCTATGTTAGAAGGCAACAGTTTTCTGTTAATTTTCAGTGTTACTGAAGCAAGTTGATACTTATCCAACATATGTATATTGGCATAATGAGAACTTCTAAATGGGTTATACTTTCTGAATTCTGAAGAAGGCAGATTGAAATCGGTGTCATTCTCTTCAATACTAAAAATGAATAAATAAAATTTCTGACTCAAGACTGCGTGACACAGAAATGCATAAATTGACTGTCCGATATGTAGTGCATCTCTAAAACATAATATCTAGTACTCTTTGTCTCTGTTGTCCTGAATGAGAAAAAAAACTTAACATGTCCATTTAATTAGGGAATTTATGTTTGAAATGTTATGAATGGTACAACAAACATTGTATGTAATTTTAGATAATGTCCATGGATACCACTGCAATTAGAATATTTAAAATATAGAAGAAACCTCATATCTGATGCAATTTAACCAGTATATCTTCTTCTTTTATTCATTTTCTCGCGGTTGGATGTATCCTGAAATCCTGTTTATTTAGAGTTAAGTTTCTAAAGAAAATATAAATTATCTGAACTCTTATAAATAAGATAGTTCGCATATGCCAGATTAAGAGAAGAAGGAGGGGTTTTGTAAATAAATATACATGAATTCTGACGTATAACAAACATAAACTAATAACATAATAATTATGGCGACATTAAAAACTGTACTCGCTAGATGCTATAATGTCGGTGAAGAGCGGATTAATAAATTATTGGGTCGGAAAGTACTGCCACACTCAGCGCTCTACCAACGCATTGATCGCGCCATGCAAGACGCTCGTGTGGAGTTGATCGTGCTGAGCACTGCGTCCGTGCAGACTTCTTTTAAATGAAAAATATCATTCAACAATTTAATCCAGGACGCAAAAATGGAGCTGTATATTTTCAATGGCTAGAGGCTCGTTTTGATTGTCACGGTCTTTGCAGCCTGGAATTACGCCTAATGTTTTCTATAACGGGAGTTGAATGGGAGACTGAGTGGCAATAACCAATTAATATTTTGAAATATTTAAGCAATTCGCTTCATCAAGTCAAGAATAAGTCGGCGCGAGAAGCTTGTACTCAGCGGCCAACAGGTTTCAACAATTTTAAGTCACGGCATAATATCGTCTCGTTGAGGAAGCATTGAATGTGCTGTCATTGAGTGAGATTTTTCAACTAACATTAAGTGAAAGTTGTCTACTTCCTATCTAAAAATTATCATATAATGATGGAGGAGCATCAAAAGCAGGATAAAAATTATGGTATGAACAACTCTTCTCCACAAAACTTGATAAACGTTATGGATTTGAGTTAAACGAGTTTGTGAAGAATTGCTGGCTAACGCAGTTTCCAGGCTTCCCGCAATTTCACTTTCATCCAACGATTGATTTCCTGCGTAGGCATCAATGCTCTTTAGGCTGCTCCAGTGGCGGCTCTCTAAGCGCTAACAAGTGGCACTCATGGCGCTCACGACACTCTTGACGCATGCGACACTCGTGGCACTCGTGGCACTCGCGGCACTCTTGACGCATGCGACACTCGTGGCACTCATGGTACTCATGACGCTTGTGTCACTCGCGACACTCAGGATGCATGTGGCATTCGTGGAATTCGTGACAATTGTGGCACTTGACCCTCGTGACAATCGCGACACTCGTGATGCATGTGGCATTCGTGGCACTCGTTACACTCGAGATACTCGTGATGTATGCGGCACTCGTGGCATTCGTGGCATTCGTGGCATTCATGACAATCGTGACACTCGTGACGGTTGTTACACTCGTGGCACTTGTGGCATTCGTGACAAGCGTGACACTGGCGACACCCGTCGCACTGGTGACACTCGTTGTACTCGTGGCACTCGTGGCACTCGCGTCACTCGTGGCACTGGCGACACTCGTGACGGTTGTGACACTCGTGGCACTTGTGGCATTCGTGACAAGCGTGGCACTCGTGATGATCGAGGCACTCCAGTGCACGATATCCGAGGGTGAAGTTCTCCTCTGTAGACCCACCCCGCACCACTTGAGGTGGAGGGCGGGGCCTCCCCCCTCCATGGGGGGGCATGGAAGAGAGCTGGAGCAGACGTCAGTCTTGCAGCGACGTCAGACGCGGGAGTGTTGCATTCGTGGTACGTCCGTGAAATATTCCTCAGCCATCATCCTTTAGCCAATATTTCATACCCTAAAGACAATCACGACGTTTTTATTTAACTGCTATAAAAGCAATCTCCAGACACACACCATTAAAGCTGCTAGAATAACCTTCGGAGAGAACTAGCCTGGCAATCGTGCAACATAGGACTGATTGCAAGAGATTGAGACTCGGAGTTGCTCCAAAAAGTTTCAACATCCATAAAAGGAAGATCAAGGCGCTTGGGATCGCCCAAGAAACTACGGAACACTCGCCCCGGAACATCAAATTGTCTGCCAAGACTGATGGGCCCCGGCGACAAGAGTGCCTAAGGGAGAGGTTAGTTTAATATTATGTCTTATCTTAACGTTTATTCATGATGGTTCTCTATTATCTGAGTTTGTTTAACGTATCAGTCAGCGCTTTTATTTTTTTAAGAAAGGTTTTTAGATAGTTTGGGGCTCATATTATTTAATGACGTTAACATGACGTTAACATTTAATGTTAACAGATGCCATTTTCAGAAATAATAAATATTATAATCTAATGAAATGATTTTGTAAATTGCTTTATAAAACAATTTGTAAATTGTTAAATAAGTTCATTATCTCGCTTGATGAACTTACATCATTAATGAAGTAGTGAACGCAGAGCCTCACTTGCGCTGTGCCACATGGCCTCACTTGCGCCGTGCCTTATGGCCTCACTTGCGCCATGTCACATGGCCTCACTTGCGCCGTGCCACATGGCCTCACTTGCGCCTAGCCACATGGCCTCACTTGCGCCTAGCCACATGGCCTCACTTGCGCCGTGCCACATGGCCTCACATGCGCCTAGCCACGTGGCCTCACATGCGCCTTGCCACATGGCCTCACATGCGCCTTGCCACATGGCCTCATATGCGCCTTGCCACATGGCCTCACATGCGCCTTGCCACATGGCCTCACATGCGCCTTGCCACATGGCCTCACATGCACCGTGAGGACTAAATATCTTGTAGATGACAACATATCAATTTATTTGTTTTCTATATTGGAATTTGACAAAAAATTTCGTTGTGTCGCTCTGAATTCAGTTAGGGTTAGATAACCCATGGTTATATGATCGTAGCATATATAATACAAGAATATTATTATATTACATTATTATTTTTCTTGTTATTATATATAATTTTTCTATATTTATATTTGGTTATACTATGCTTTTAATTATATTATTAGTTTATCTTATCATAGACTAATGCTTAGGCTGTACTAGGAAATAATATTAAATTAGTTGACCTTGTCAGCAAGGGCTGCTCCAGACAGCACTCGCAATACAAAAAGACGAAATTATGATTATGCTTATGGGGGAATTAGGATTATGATTAAGGAAAATTAATGTAAAATTTTGGTTGATTTGAACATAAAATTAGGATATTTTTCAATCTAGATTCATCGTTGGAAACACTGGAAAAATTTATCGTGTTTCGTCTGCCCATAAAATATCATACTCTTCTGGGTTGGAGAGATGAATCATATGAATGTCTTTCAGTGAAGTTTCATTGGATGTGTTTTATTAGTTAGTCTTGAAGAAATTGTTGCTCAAAAAATACATTTCGCTTGAAACTTTGGGTCGAATTACAAGAAACATAAACTCCTCTCTTGATCGAGGAAGCTCTGGAGATGATCCAAAAATGAATGCAATGGCAAAGTTAATGCAATGACGCCTATCACTATTTTTTAGAATTTTACGCATCTTTATCTGAGAGTTGCTATCCCGGCTACAAAAGTTCTATTCTTCGAAGAGCAAACGACAAAGAGTCATGGAGGGGAGGAGGAGAGAAGTGAAGGGGTAGCCATGAATGTGGCTATTATGCTGCCTTTACCAATAAAGGTTTTTCTGGCCCAGACCTTCAGCAAATTGCTGGGCGGCTCACATGGACCAAGTTGTTCTCCAGATAACCTTCAATTTCATGAAGGTTTTGTAGTCCTGATCTCACTTCAATTGAATGAATCTTTAAGAAGTTCGGAAACTTCGTTTATATGTTACACGAAAAAATGATAATCAGAACAACAACAATAACAGGACAGGCACAAACAACAACAATAACAGGACAGGCACAAACAACAACAATAACAGGACAGGCACAAACAGCAACAATAACAGGACAGGCACAAACAGCAACAATAACAGGACCTGTCTCTTATACACATCTAGATGTGTATAAGAGACAGAGCGTGACAGTAGCCGTACAGTAAAGCGTTCATAAGCGTGGCAGTAGCCGTACAGTAAAGCGTTCATAAGCGCTGCAGTAGCCGTACAGTAAAGCGTTCATAAGCATGGCAGTAGCCGTACAGTAAAGCGTTCCTAAACTTGTAAAGCACTCGCGCATATTGCTGTGCTGGCGCGCCTCTCTTCGATCTGTATGCCCAACATGGCTACAACATGTCAATATTTCTCGAAAAATTCCGACAATATCCGTAGTTCTTTGATATCAAAAACGGCTCAACTTGTATGCAATATTTTTCGAGGTTCTATGCAAACATGTTTTCCTAGAAATAACATGTCATATCTTTTACAGTATATTTTCATATTCACGACATAATGATATGAAGAACTAAATGATCTGCTGCGCTGTCATTGTAAGCCGATCGCCTTCTTTTTGTCATGAGAGCGGATGGACTTCATTTCAGGAATGTTCGCCCCAGCTGGCAAGCTCTCAACTAATTTCCTCTTCTCATTTTGAGGCTTTGCAGGCAGCAAGACATGGTGTGGCTGGCTGTCTGACTGCTCTTCTCCCGACGACCTTTTAATTCCAGAAAGTGCTGCTCTCCGGCCTCTTTGTTAAGAGCGCCTTTTCGAGCTGTGCAGTGAAGGTTCAAGAACTTCTGTAATGGTTACAATTTTTTTAACTCCACATTGAAAAATTTGTTTTGCTGAAAAAAAAAGGATTATCATTTCATATGATGGATTTGTATAAAACTTCATTAATAATGAGTGTCGTATCGAGTCAATATTTGCAACTAGGCAGAGGTTTTCCTTCTGATAGCAGCTCCAGAATTATTTATTATATTTATAGACAATTAATAATTGTTCCATATGGAGTTCTATTAGCAATGAGATTTAACAATTTTTTAGGATGTTTTACAGACAATTTTTCTCACCCGATAGATGTTTCGCTTGATTTTTAATTATTAAAATGAGGTCAAATGCGGTTTAATATGCAAAGACATTGCAATACATAAGGCAGTGAATCGCTCTGACAGTGTTGATTGCCAAAGCGACTTCTGGCTAAGCATGCATTCGGTACTGAACGCGAAGCTTAACGACTGTATGGTAAACTATACACGGCGCGAACTGTGCATGTCGTGGACTGTACACGGCGTGAACTGTGCGTGTCGTGGACTGTACATGGCGTGAACTGTACATGACGTGAACTGAGCATGACGTGAACTGTGCATGACGTGAACTGCGAATGAAGCAGTTCACGACATGAAGTGAACTGGACCTGAAGTGAACTGTACATGAAGTGAACTGTACATGACGTGAACTGAGCATGACGTGAACTGCGAATGGCGTGAACTGCGAATGAAGCAGTTCACGATATGAAGTAAACAGTACATTAAGTGAACTGTGCATGAAGTGAACTGTATATGAAGTGAACTGCACATGACGTGAACGGTAGATGAGGTGAACTGTACATGTCGTGAACTGTGCATGACGTGAACTGTACATGACAAGAACTGTACACGACGTGAACTGTACATGTCGTGAACTTTACATGTCGTGAACTGTACATGACGTGAACTGTGCATGACAAGAACTGTACACGACGTGAACTGTACATGTCGTGAACTTTGCATGTCGTGAACTGTACATGACGTGAACTGTGCATGACCTGAACTGTGCATGACGTGAACTGTACACATCTAGATGTGTATAAGAGACAGGTGGTGAGGCAGGCGCAATGGTGAGGGGCGCAGTGGTGAGGCAGGCGCAGTGGTGAGGCAGGCGCAGTGGTGAGGCAGGCGCAGTGGTGAGGCAGGCACAGTGGTGAGGCAGGCGCAGTGGTGAGGCTGGAGCAGTGATTGCACTAAACGGCTGCGCGGCTTAGGAGAGCAATTCGACGTGCATTAGGAGGAGATTGCACATCAATTCGATGACTTTGGGCTTTAATTTTTTACCCAATTTTTGAAGATGAATTTTTTCCGATAAAGTTATTCACGCATATATCTTGCTCTACAATGGGAGAAGTATGAGATGAACAATTTTTAAAACTCATTTGGCATCAACAAAGTTCCTTGATGAAGCGTGGAACGGCTCTTTGTCACACATGGTAATTTCCACAAAAAAAAGAAAAAAATAATAATAAATAAACAATTTCTCCATGAAATCTCGCACATACATTTAAACATTTTTAATTACAATATTTTATTTGTTTATATTTTTATATTTGGAACCGCACTAGCGCCCTCATGCGAGATTAGAGATAAGCAATCTCGTGTATCGTCATCAAATTCACATGACGAATGAAATTCCAAGCATCTTCCGACTCACCGAAATCGTTTCGCCAGGCGAGGCAGCGTGAGACCCGAAATGAGACGCGGCCTGAGACGCGGCCAGAGACGCGGCCGGAGACGAGGCCTGAGACGCGGCCAGAGACGTGGCCAGAGACGCGGCCAGAGACGCGACCAGAGACGCGGCCTGAGACGTGGCCTGAGACGTGGCCTGAGACGCGACCAGAGACGCGGCCAGAGACGCGGCCAGAGACGTGGCCTGAGACGCGGCCTGAGACGCGGCCTGAGACGCGGCCAGAGACGCGACCAGAGACGATGCCTGAGACGCGGCCTGAGACGCGGCCAGAGACGTGGCCTGAGACGCGGCATGAGACGCGGCATGAGACGCGGCCTGAGACTCGGCCAGAGACGCGGCCAGAGACGCGGCTAGAGACGCGGCCAGAAACTTGGCCTGAGACGTGGCCTGAGACGCGGCCTGAGACGCGGCCTGAGACGCGGCCAGAGACGCGGCCAGAGACGTGGCCTGAGACGCGGCCTGAGACGCGGCCTGAGACGCGGAATGAGACGCGGCATGAGACGCGGCCTGAGACTCGGCCAGAGACGTGGCCTGAGACGTGGCCTGAGACGCGGCCTGAGACTCGGCCAGAGACGTGGCCTGAGACGTGGCCTGAGACGCGGCCTGAGACGCGGCCAGAGACGCGGCCAGAGACGTGGCCAAAGACGGGAAACTGACCTCTGGCAATATCCCCAACCCTAACACTTGTTGTAAGAGTTGTAAGAACCACTCGATCAGCTCCACGAAACTAACCCCAAGTCCGATGAAACATCCAAGATTGGCAAAGTTTCCGCAAGCAACGAATCTTTACTTAAGTTAGCCCTCGCCAGAGGAGGCTTTCGATAACTTCTTGGATCAGGTTGAGTCAAAGGACCGAGTTGACTGGCAAAACATCGTCCAGTCAAGCGATCTTCTGATATTGTCCGCATGAAGTTACGAAATATCAAATCACGAAAGAAGAAAAGTTAAGTTAAAGTATTGTTTTGTGTTATTAATTCTGTCGAAGTTACTGCTCGTTAGACAATTTTACACAGCCGTGATGTGAATTTAGACTAAAGCTGTTTCTAAAATGTATATTACAAACCATAGAAGGTTAAGGTAATGTTTGACGGCTGGTTTCCCAGATTTAAATGAAAAAGGTAAACCTACAGATGGGCTTTTTAAATAACTCAATTTATACTGATTGTTTCAAATAATTATTAAATCTTGCTTATGTTAACAGGTTTAAGAATATCTCTCATCGAATTGATTCCAAGATAAAAAAAGGCGCGTAATCAAAATAGATGATGTAGAAACAGAACTCCAGAGTCTGATCATCTAGTTAAATCAGGCTTACTTTAGAGCAGTACAGTATACCGTCAAATCGCTAATGTCGCCTCCAAAGACGCCAGACGTTTAGCGTAATCGAGAATGCGTTCAAACGACATCGTGATGGCACTTCAATAACCTTCCTAAAACGGGCGACTTCCTTTAATTGTTCTCGTAAATTTTGATGACAGCTGCAATTCCTCAAAACCCGTCAGCCCGTAGCCTTGGGTTTGACTTCCAACGAACGCTTCGGATACTTCCACCATCATCAGAAAGCATCAGAATTCCGGTTTTGCTTGGGATTCTTCCAATAATTTTATGACACTCCCTCGATGAAAAATGTTAAATTTTTTAAAGTTCTTATTTATAGTCAGAGTTGGAATATTTTCATCTATCAACTACCCACTAGGCGCACTAATATCCACAAAAATATTACACTCTGCAAATACATGAAGTTTCGCACGGTCACCTCTTGTCTCTCATGTTCACAATGAGCAAAAGTTTCCCGAAACCTCCATTTTCCTTAGCCAATACATACAAAGGATCTCACTTGAAAATCTCAATAGATGTTTTTGGGAACACGCTGGAATTCCAATAATCGTTCTCAGAGAACACAAGGCCAGCGCGACTGCCAAGCACATGAGCAAGGAAAGACTTGCCCAGTCACATCCTCGCTTAGCATTCATTGGCGGGAGGCTGCGTGCGCTGGCGATTCAAAATAGGTTCTGGTGTTGTGGACCGGTCATTGCTTTCCGATACCAGCCTGACCAGAATACCTAATTGCTTCTTCTTCGCCGTTCTCTGTGGGGAGGCTGACATTAGACCAGGCCACTGTGCCAGGCTGGCTTTTACGTTTATGGATATGAAATATTATTCTTTCATCTTCTAGTTTTTTCAGAGCTCACATGAAAAAATTCTCGCTGTCTTGCTTCGGAAGCAATGACTCGATATTCGGATTTAAGAAGCAAAGGTCAGTCATTATCCGAATGGTCAACCAGTGGTAGGTTATTATTTATAACCTGAACTTTGATAACGTATGATTGTACAGTAATGCACAGTGAAATCACGTAAAATTAGTAATTATTTTAAAAAAATATGTATTTTTAGTAACCCTTCTTTCCTGACTACGTCAAATTGATCCTTTCTTACAGGAGTTAGTTTAGTCCGGGGGAGGGGGGCGCAGCCGTATGCCACAAATTTTACTCTTAAATAAGCCCCGGAGCCAACGCCTAGCTACACCATGCATTAACTTTACTCAGCCTCAGAACTAGAAGCCGTAGACTACGCTTGAACTCCGTAATCCAGACAAGCGACACACTGCCGAAAGATAATAGCGCCGTAGGCCTTCAGCCAATGCTTAAGCATGCTCGCTCATAAGCAGGCAGTTCCCCATCCGGCTGTACCTACTCTGACATAACCTCTTTTGGCCTAACCTATTCACGCTGTACCGGTTCACAACCTTCTTGCAGCCAATGACTGGCTCTACCAGCACACTTGGACCGTCTTTTTAACTCCTTGCAGCCAATGAGGTTAGGTTAGGTCCGCTCAGGTTTGTTTTGGGTGGAGAAAGGTTGCAGCTCGTATAGGTTAGGCCTGAAGAGGTTAGGTCGGATGAGGTTTGGCCAGGTGCAGTATAGCCATCATCAGCCATGTTTACCTTTGACAGGCTTATTTGGGGCTGTGGACATCCGGCGCTATGGCTTTGAGCACTTGACTTCATAGCCATAGGTCGTTATGCACTCTAGCGTTCTTACCTATGGAAAGGGATATGAACTAAGTGTGAAGTTTGGCAAAGCTGGCCTCCGGCATGCGCTTCTGGTCCGGAAGGTGTTCGAGAGCGTTATGCTAGCAGCAGCAAAATTAGAGCAGTGAGCCGCGGGTTCGAGCCTAACCAGATGTAGAATTTTGATGTAGAATGTAGAATAGCAGGTCGTTTACCAGATGTAGAATAGCACCAGATTTGAATATAAGATGTAGAATAGCAGGTCGTTTGACTTATGTTAATAACTTTTATGTTCAGAAATTCTCCACTATATCTATTCTAATCGTAATTGTTAACGCATGCATGTAAGCCTTGTATAACTTGTGGTATAACTTGTTGCGTAGCCGATAAAAGTCATGCAACATCGCTAACAGAAATAAACAAAATACAATAAGGAGGAGCGCGTATGTTTTGATGGGACTCTTCGAGGTCATAATTTCAAAAGAATATTATAGAGCTGGTAAAAATATTCGTCATTATTTTTAAATTTTTTTGATAAAAATTTTCTCAGCTTGAGAAATGCTCGCCGTGTAGAATTTGAGTGCGTATCAAAGATGCAATGATCCGAGCCAAAAAGACGCCTGAATCTCTCTTGAGCTCCTTACGGAGACTTCTCGAAACTTCTGCACGAACGACCCTAACTTTCCTATACCCAGATCCCCCATTCGTCCAAGCCTCCAATCCTGTGCCTTAAAGTATCAACTCGTCTCAAAAAGTCTAATTTGAGCTTCCAAAGACCTATGACACAATGTCTCCTCTGCCTGGCACACATGACGCAAGACTTTTCTGTCCTCGTGTTCATCGCAGGATGCACATGCTCTTTTTAGCGCATTTTCTGAAAAAATGTACTATTGTGCTCGCCATGTCCGTCCGTCTGTCTGTCCATCCGCGATTTCACGTTTTCGTCGACGAGAAAATGCGCTCTTGCTCTTTGTCACTCACTGCAGTACTGAGTTATATTTTTTTCTATCCTAAGCTAGGGCTTGATCAATTTCGTTCCAGGAACACAAATTAACTTCCTTCTGAACACAAAGTGAGCTTCGGCAGATGCTTCGAATTTTCACATCCGTTTACTTGGTCTGTCTATGGACACGTTTGAGTTGAGTACAGTTTCCTTTAATTTGCTCTGAAGACTTCGGGTATGCAGGTAGCACACCTTCCTGGCCTTAGCACAACTGAGATTTTGGACACTTCACGTCCCTTTCAGCCCACTTCACTTTTAGATCACTTCACTAATGGATCACTTCACTTTCGGATCAATTTACTTTATGCACTTCCACCAGCCAGAGTGGCAGAAAATTTCAAAAAAGAATTGAGTTCAGTAGAGCACAGTAGAGTTCATTAGAGTACAGTAGAGTATAAAAGAGTACAAAAGAGTACAGTAGAGTACAGTAGAGTACACAATAGAGTACAAAAGAGTACTAAAGAGTACAGTAGAGCACAGTAGAAAACAGTAGAGTACAGTAGAGTTCAGTAGAGTACAGTAATTTATTAACAAATTAAAAGGGTTACTTAATTCTGAAACACCCTGTATATATATAATATAACAAATAATGATTTTTTCACGTTTAAATCTACTTAATTGGCTTCCACGTGTAGAGCTTTTTCATTGCCACTGACTTGCACTTTTGACTTTCATTGACTTTTGCATTAAATTTTTCTAGAGAAAGAAAATTTTTTGACCCTAATGCTTTTCGCCGTTAAAATGTTCCTACTTTGATTGAGTTTTCTTGGTCAGTAAAAGCGCAGTACTTGGTGAGTAGGAGCCAAGTTTTTGAAAAGATTTTGAGTGGATTTCCTCGAGGTGCTCCTAATTATCCAAGGCGACATAAATTTTCCACCTTAGGCCTCCGAAATCCCGAGGTCACAATTTGATTATGCGCAGTCCAGGTAAATGAAGTCAGAGCCGATAGCGGCGTAATCTCAACAGCCCGTCAAGAGGCCCGACTTGGCAAATTTTTGAGCAATCTGATAGGCCGCCTGGCGCTATCAGAAACGGATCGATCTGAAGCTTTAGCAAATGACGCCATCAGCGCGTGCGAGCAAAAATTTGCCTGCGATCCTGGTAAGGCTTTTCTCCTTCACAATCGCTCTCAACGAATAGCCGTGGCTTCAGATGATGGCACCGGCAACGATCGCGATAGATTCTTTCTCATCAATTTCTTTTCAACTTTATAGTGGTCTTCAAAGCCTTTGCATTACATATTTCATATTGAGACGGAGACGATTTTCAATTTGTACACTTTTTAAAACTCTAAAAATTTTAGCTCATTGTAAAATATTTCACAATATTTTTTTTCTATTTTGAACAATAACCAACAATTAATTTTTGCGACGAGCTGTATGTTCAATTTTGCACTTCAAAGCTATGGTTGCGAAAACATTAGATTCGAACGATCTTTGCCTGCAGAGCCTCCATGGCAAGTATACGTGTAAGAGCTACTAATTGAAAATCGATGAATCTTTTTTAGGTATCCTAATCTATCGATTTGGAAGTTTTGATTTTGATTGAATAATTTTGTGTCCTCTTGATTTTGGGCGATGCGCATTATTAGTTCACCACTAGTGAAAAAGTGCCTGAAGCCTAGTGTGGTCGCACTGGTTAGGCAA